ACACTGAGGCTTTGCTGATTGTACTTCTTTGTGATTTTTTTTTTTTTTTTTTTTTTTTTTTGATGGATAAGAAATTGCTCAATGAAATCATAATGAGGCTGGAGGAGGCGAAGAACGGCCGTAACGCCAAGCTGACGGAGGCTGAGATACGCTAGCTTTGCACTGTCTCCAAGCAAGTCTTTCTTAGCCATCCCAATCTATTAGAGCTCAAAGCTCCTATCAAAATTTGTGGTACTAATTAGTAAAACAAAGTCATCTGCTTTTACTCCATAATAATCTATTCGTTGTTGATTCTGATTTTTGTTTTTTTTTGGGTATTTTGCTTGTTTTGTCCTCACTATTTGTGTTAATATTTGAAAAAAAATTTAGCAATTAAGGGTAATTGGAAAGGAGAACTTCTTTTTTTTTTTTTAGGGTACTTGATTCTTTGAATTAGGCTGGTGTTAGCCATGTAGTTATTGATGGAAAATTTGCACTAAATGGTGTGCAGACTTGTTGTCCATATTTGTTTCCTTGCATGCATAAACTAAGTGGGTAGAGAACTGCTTTATTGTGTAGCTTTATGTGCGTTATCCATGGCCAATTAATGAATTAAGAATACTCTTTATTTATTATTTCCCTTGGCAGGTGATGTTCATGGTCAATTTTCAGATCTTCTACGCCTGTTTGAGTATGATGGATACCCACCAGAAGCTAATTATTTATTCCTAGGGGACTATGTTGATCGGGGTAAGCAGAGCATAGAAACCATATGCATTCTTCTCGCGTACAAAATCAAATACAAAGAGAACTTCTTTCTTCTCAGAGGCAATCATGAATGTGCTTCAATCAGCCGTATTTATGGGTTCCATGATGAGTGCAAGAGAAGGTTCAATGTTCGTCTCTGGAGGACATTTACTGACTGCTTTAATTGTCTGCCTGTTGCTCCTCTAATTGATGAGAAGATCTTTTGCATGCATGGTGGGCTATCTCCTCATTTGGACAACTTGGATCAAATCCGCCATATTGCTCGCCCCGTCGATATACCAGATCATGGTCTTCTTTGTGATCTCTTGTGGGCTGATCCTTATAAAAATGTTAAAGACTGGGGAGACAGTGATAGGGGTCTCTCATGTACATTTGGGGCAGACATGGTTGCTGAGTTTCTTCAGAAACATGACCTTGATCTCGTCTGCAGAGCTCATCAGGTAATGAAATTCAGATTGAGATTGACCTTCCTATAGCTGGCTTTGGCAAGTAAG